TATTATTTAGATGGATTAATTTGATTTGATTATTTTATATTTATTTTCAACACATTAGAGTATTTTATGATGCGCGCATTCAACGAAAATTCATGTGATTAATTACTGGGCTTTTTCAATACCCGTCAATTTAGCTCACCATGCAGAGAACACACGCGGCCCAAAGTCAATAAGATTTACTTGGGCTTGATATTACAATTAAAAATAATTGAGGAGGATTAGTTGGGCTTTATATTATATTAGAATTCNAAGATAGAGTCAAGTATAATCGTGGATACCTGGACACCCACACAAAATATATTATATATTTTTTTTAAAAAGTATTCTTTAACTTTTCATACTATTTTAAATATTTTTTTATTATAAAAAAATTTAATTGTAGATCAAGTATTATTAAGTATGAAACTTAAGTGAAGTTTAATTGTTATTACTATATTTTATTTGTATTTTAAAAATTCTCAAATTATATAGGATCAAAGTTGACATAATATATTTAATGTTATAATTCGATTCTTAATTTCGGTTCTTCGGTTCGATACGGTATGAGATGATTCAGTTTGATTCTCGGTACAGATATTTGTGAAATCTCCAGAACTGTACCAATTATTTTTTCGGTTCGGCTCGGTTCGGAGAAAGTCAAACAGTCAACGGTTATTTTTCGATTTGGAGTGATTTCGGTCTAGTTTTCCGAACGATTCGGAATTCTCTGAGTCCCATGCTCAACCCTATTTTCGAGATCAGTAGCCGAACGGATAAAGAGCACTTCACACGGAGGTAAGTCGCACCCGCACACGAGAAGATAATTCTATTTTCTCTCATTTATTTTCTTTTACTATTAACATGTTAGACTAGTATTGTTATCTAGTTTGAGGGGATGTTTGATTTGTCTATGAATTGGAGGATCTTTATTTATTGATGATTAATTTAGATGCCGTATTTATCTTTTTTGGATGAGTTGATTCATGCTATAAGTGTATAATGTTTATCAATTATGGGTGTTTGATTTAGTTTGACTAGCAACGTTGAATATTCATAGTTTAATTGCTAGAGATGAGACTTTAAACCGTAATTGTTGTTGAATATTCACAGTTTAATTGCTAGAGACTAGACTTTAATGTGTAATTGTTATTGTTCTCGTTTCATTAGTAATAAACTAGGAGTCATGCATCTGTAAGGTAGAGCGAACATAAGTTAAATGGTTTGAACTATCGCGTCCGTTGCTTAGACTAATCTGTTTTCCTAGAAAAAATGCTGTTAGTGCACAATCTAGAGAGCTTGTTCTAGGTTGTCCGCTAGTTAAGTTTAGTCGACGAGCTTATTTCGATTAAGTATTCGTTAAGGGAATATTCGGTTAACAGAGTTTGTTGTTAGCTAGGGTTGGTAATTCGTTAGCAATTTAAAGAATGCGTCAGAATTAATTAATGTCAGATTTAGATTGGGTGATAACTGAACCGAAAACTGAATTTCTCTCATTTCATTTGATTTTTATTTCTAGTGTTATTTTTAATTTTATTTTTATAAAATCAATCCCCCTATCTTTATTGTTTACTTAGTTTTAGTTCAATTAATACGAGAATCATTGAGAATCATCACGATTTAATTCCTTCTCCTCGTGGGATCGACTCTTACTCACCGCTAATACTAGTCAGTAGATGTTTGTTGAGAAAAAAATTATTAATTTTAAATTTATTGTGTTGCGACACGTGGTCAAATTTTAGCGACCGTTGCCGGAGAGTGGCGTAATTGAGTCGTGATTTTTCTAGTGTTAATTGAATTAAGTAACTAGATTATTATTTATTATATTTTTCTTTTACTCTTTTAATCCCCCTATTTTTCTTTTTTTGGTTTCTTTTTCGGGTGGTATTCGTTATGAATGGATGCGTATTGGAGCCCGGATTGTGCTTATGCTTACGATTAATATTATGGAATGAAAGAAAAAATAAGAGACCCACGTCGTGAGTCTAGGATGTCGGCTATGGTTCAAGGAGCCATTTAAAGTGTTCGTCAAGTTTTAAGGAAATCATGTCATCTATGTCATACCACACGTCACGTCACCGATGATTGTCCGTTTTAATTTGTTCGAGAGGTATGGTGCATACAAAGTTACTGAGAGTGATTGGTATCGACGAGACGAATGAGCGTATTCAAATTTTCATGGTAACCATTACGATTGGGGCGATAGTGAAAATTTATTCTATGAAATTCCACAATATTCTCGGTCGTATGAGCCTACTTATAGCACGACGAATCTCAATTCCAATATGGAGGCTCACGTTATTTTTCAAAATCTTCGCTTATACAAGAGGCTAATCCATCTTTGGTGAACTTATGTGAAGAGTGTCTAAATTATTTGATGACTAGTAGCAAAAAGATTGATGATGTATTGAGCGAATTGGATGCTCGTGTCAAGAGTCGGCTACCATCTCAAGCCGATCCGAGCCAAAGTGATGTTGGAGACCTTGGGCTGAGCAGCGAGATGGAGTCCGAGGTGCTGAAAAATCATGTTTTTGAGCAGAATAATGATCCGAGCGACGAAGAGAATAAAGAGAAGGCGAGACGGAGCAAATTTTCGCTGCTATCGACCCCCTCAATAAAAACTTGGTAGCATTTTCTACTGCTATCGGGGCCCCAATAACAGCCCGTCCGAAAGTGAAAATGACGTAAAAGCTCTGACAATTGTCCCGAGCATGACCGAAGTTTTATCTCTTCTATCTAAGGTCAAGCAACCAGTAGCCGAGCACTCTGAAGTTCAAGAGCCTTACATCCTTGAAGTGTTTGAGATTTTTTCTCTTATCCATGAGCCCGAGCCAGTCTTTTACCATGTCAATCTACCACCTCGACGAAAAGATCCAGTCAAGCACCCGACACCGGACAATGAGATCTTTAAGAAGCACGGTGTTGCAATGTTTGTGCTGTCTTTGAGGCCATCTCTGAAACCGCTATGGTCCGTTTCAAGAAAACGGAGAATAAGTCGAGCCAACAACAATAAAAAAATGCTTGTTAGGAGGCAACTCAATAGCGTGCGACGCGACTTCTTCTCTTCGGTAAGGTGAACTCTTTCCTTTTACCTCCTATTTTGTTTTTATATTTGTGCAAACTCTAAGTTTTAGGAGATCTATTGATATTATGTGTTGCTATCTTATTATCTTGATTTGTTTTAGTATGTGTTCCTTGTATGTGGAATTTTGCCATGATGATATGAGAGTCGGTTTGGATTTATTGTGCTAGTTTAAATGGCTTGATTAATTATATTCGGNNNCGAGAGGAAGACGTAGGAGGCGTTGGCGGAGTTTCCTGTGGAGTATAGGGATTTTCGATTTGCAAAGACGGATAACTGAAAGAAAAGAGGTGGGAGATGGTGTAGATCTAGCTAAAAAAGAAAATTTGTAATAAATTAATCTTGGCCACACAAATCTAAGGGTTAATATTGGGTCTCACATACTTTAATAGGTGTCTTCATTGAAACCAATCCACACACACATACACACACAAACACACACACACACACACACACATATATATATAGGATGAATCAAATGAGGACACTAGGGCTGCTCATTCGGTCGAAACCGAACCGAACCGACCGAATTTTCGGTTAACCCAAAATTTGGTTTATCCGTTATCATAACCGAAAACCGAACCGAAATTTACGGTTCGGTTCGGTTTTTCACCGAAAATTCAGCGGTCGGTTCAGTTCGGTTTTCGGTTAATCGCAATAAATAATTAATCTTGTCAAGAAATTCCAAATTTTTAATCGAACAAATAATTTGGTGTTTTTTCCAAAAAAAAAAAAAATAATAATTTTTTATCTCCTTGTTTATTCTTCTCAATATATTCTAAATTCTCCTCAAAGGAAGATCTTGAACCCGAACTATGACTTGGACTACGACGAAGTCAATCTTGAGCAATTTAATGCTTGAGCCATTTTAGGGGTCATTGAAACTTGAAAATCATCAATCATTGAAGCAAATTAATGCTTTTATAACTTTTATGTATAAATAAAAAAATATGTATATATATGTGTATAAATCGATTTTCGGTTCAGTTCAGTTAACCGATCACAATTATCCAAACTGAACCGAAAATCAAAATTTAAGAAAATATAAACCGAAAACCGAACCAAATATTCGGTTTCGGTCGGTCGTTGACCCCGTTGTCGGGCGAGTCTCAATTCAGCCTCCAGCCACCACCACCCGGCTGCTCGTTGGAGCTCCGAGAGCCTCCAACGCCGGCGACGGAAGCCATGGTAAGCCTCGCCGGAGAAATTTCCGACTAGATCCTCAGCTCAAAGCACTGCCATTTTCTCTTCCGTGCCGCCGTCGACGTCCTCGCCGGCGTAAGCCTCATTTAGTGTTTATATACAAATATATCCGCTTAGGCGTGTTTGTATCAAAATATATCCGCCATTGAGTAGTGTTTTGTTCATTTATTCGAAATTCCATATTCACTCTATTTACTACAAATAAAATGAGCTTTAATTTGTAAAGCAAAAATGTGCTCTTTTCCCTGTTTGTTTTTCTGTCAAAAGGCAGATAGATATGTTCTATTGAAATGAGATATCACTTAAAACTTCAACATGGAATATTTTACTTAAAAAAATGTATATGATTCACATAGATATACAACTTGAGAATGAAATATCCTAATGCAAGGGAGTGGTCTCATAGAGTTCTGAAGTACAAAAATTCATTTCCTTCTTCTATTCTTTTATTGACACAAATCAAATTATAATTTGTTCTTAACTATGACAGTCAAATTTCTGAAGTAGTTATTATACAAAGCAAAAGTAAACAATTCAATATGTATTTCTGCACCAACTAAGTTGCCAACATATATATTTAAAAAATTTATATAAATCGATCATGGCAATAATGGAAATAATAAATAAATTTTTTAAATAGAATTGTGGTCAAGCCATGTTATGTAATAGAAATATCAATATTATATAATTATACATGTATATAAAACAAATTGAAAATATATATCTAAAAAAAAGTAAATCAATTGATGGTGGAGTAATAGCGGTGGCCAATACCAGGCCTAAACCTCTGGTCACTTTCCTTTGGGCTTTTTTCCTTGTCATCGTCGGGTGCCGGAAGATTGAGATCCAATGACAAGCCCAGATTAATTATTCCAGCTGACTTCCTTGAGTCCTCGGGCTCCATCTCCTCAAGAGCGGGGGCATTAACCTCAGAAGATCGCATAACGGGTCCAGCCCGATGCTTCCTCATGTGGCCTCCGAGTGCCTGGCCCGATGTGAACTCGGCCCCACAGTAGGAGCACTCATGCATCCTAGGAGAAGGGGATGACTTGTTCATGAAGTTGGTGGTAGCATTATTATTGTTAAGTTGTAGAGAGAGAGTGTTGAGAGAGAATCTATTAATCTTATTTGAGGATGGTGATGGGAAGTCCTCGTCATCGGAGAATATGGGCTGCTTCTCGTTCTTGGGCTTTTTATGGCTGGCCCGATGCCCACCTAGGGCTTGGAAAGAGGGAAATGATCGGTTGCATGTTTTACACGTGTACACGAATGCACCTCCTCCTCCGCGTGCATCGTGTTGAGATGATGTGTGGTTGGGATGATTGTGGTGAAATTGATTGGCTCGGGAGAGGAGGATGAGGGAACGAGCAGTGTCGATTTCCTGGGTCGTGCTGCTTTCCTCGGAGGATGTGACGGTGAAGGGAATGGGGGAATGAGGCCTAAGTCGTTTGGTGCGTTTGCCTTTGGCAATAGGAGAGAGGTCACAAGAAAGGGGAGGCGGCGGTGGTGCCACCTCCACAACCTCCATTGTCTCGCCGGAGACTTCACTGCGGCCACCACCACATATGATCTGCCATCTGTGGTGGTGGTGGTGGTGGTGGCTTATGTTATGTATGTTTTTCACTATCT